TGGGATACTCTAGTAAGAAAAAGGCATCCTGTGGGTTCTCAAGAGTTTCACTGATAGGCCCACGAAACCTCCAGAGGGTTCAGCAGTGAATCCTGGCCTTCTTGAGCTCACTCCCTGGTTGCTGTTTGCTCACCTGAGGGCCCAGGTGGAGTCCTTTCTCTTCAGCCACAGCCACTGACTCCCCTTTCAGAAGCTCTGTAGAGGTTTTCCTGCCCATGGGCCTTTCATCGCACGCTCGTCTCCCGCAGTAGCCTGGATGTTGATGTGGCTGTAAACCATCTGCATCCTACTTGGACTGGTCGGACTTATATTCGTTCAAGCCTCAGCTGCCAGGTCAGCATACCTCATTTCTTCCACTCGTACACTTCTTCTACTGCGTACTCCCAGGGCACTGTAGGATCAGTTATTTTTCTACAGATTGATCTCAAAATGAATAAACCTATAGGCCAAACTTTAAGATTTTTTTGGTTTGTCACTGACCGTTCTTTTGATAAATACAGGAAGCTTTTGGTCATACATTCTTGTTAGCATTTTAGGCATCTTTAAGCTAATGTGTCTGTTATTATACTTTGCTGTTTTTCTTTAATATCTCGTCTTGTATTACCTTCCAAGCTTGATCCAAAGGTGTTGTATTATCTTGTTTTTGCATACCCTGTCTAAGGATTACCTGCTTATAACACACCCCACTACCAGCTGGGGTAGCGCTAAGCTCGTCTAAACTTGTCCGAGGAACATCATCTTCCTCTTAACTGAAGCTAAAGGGGATTAAAGTGAAGTTCATTGTCTCATCTTTCTCAGGAGAAAAGTGGTGTTGTTGAGCTTTGGGCCCTTCTGCAGTTTGGTTGTGATGAGGTTCCCTTCATGTTTCAGCCTTTGTGGATTCTAATCTGAGCCCCCTGTCCCATCTCGGTCTGTCCCGCTCTGCCCTTTATTTCGTCACTAATCCTGTTAGTGGACCTCCTTCATAATCCTCCCACAGTGATTCGCTCCCTCCTGGTGTTGACAGCTCTTTCAGGGCCGCTCGTTGAAATGCTGATAGACCCTGACTGAACAACTCAGGTAGGACACAAGACCCCAAACAGACAGACCACTCCCACTCCCACTCCCACTTACACCTCTACACGACATCATCAAATACATACCTTTATGTACAGGACAGTGCTGCTTTGGAATTACTGCAGAGAAGAGTCGTTGTTGTGTTTGGTAATTTCATTTGGTTTATTTGAAATGTGCATGGCTGGTCTTTGAATTGCTTTGCTTAAAAAAATAGAAATGAAAGCATGCATAGTAACTTGTCATGTAATTTGATTCTCATGTTTTTTCGCTACATTTTTCCTAGTTTAAAAGAAGGACCGACTTTTTCGGGATTTTAAAACGATAATCTCTGTTATGTTGATGATCGATAGTATTTCATAAGAGAGGTAAGTAGGAACATAAAAGCTTTCAAAACTGCAGGCAAACTTCGGTTTCCCCAAGCTGCCAATCTTTTGTATGGAACTTAGACAGACAGTGTCTCGAGAGTTTGCCTGCAATACTTGGTGTCTAGGAATTACATTTTTGTTATTTTTGTTGCCGAGGTAACCAAACAGGTATTGATAATGTTTGGCATTTACTAGTATCATATAGAGGTTAAATTTCTAGTATATTGGGTGGCTGTGGCTCAGTTGATAGTGTCGTCGTCTCTCAACCCAGAAGGTTGGGGGTTGATCCAGGTCCTGCAGCCACATGTTCGATGTGTCCTTGGGCAAAACACTTAACCCTAAATGGCTGCTTCATCTGTGGTGTATGAAAGCGTATGAATGGGATAAGTTACTTCTGATGGTCTCTTTAGATAGCAACACCTGCCATCAGTGTGTGAATGTGTAGGTGTAACATGCGGTGTAAAAGCGCTTTGAGTAGTCAGAACACTAGGACATCGCTGTACAAGCTAAAGTCTATTTACCATTTACCATATTGAAAACCCCACAAGAGAATGTGGCAACTTCCATTAAACCTATGACAGATAGCAGTGAAGTCTTTCAATATTATCCTGTGACTCAGCGTCTTAATGGAGTATTAACTAGTCCAACTGCAGATCTACAAACCAAGTCTCCAAAACATTCTGAATACCTCAAGTATCAAGGACGTTTGCTCACATTGTAAAGGAAATTTACGTCATCAGTGACAAAGGTTTCAATTTCAGCAAACAGGTTTGTTTGATTAGTACTCGTACTTGACTTCCAGTTGGCTCCCGCTACAATGAGATGATGTTGGGAATTTTCCCAAGTCCTGATAAACATCTTATTTCAAGATATAACACGAAAAAGGGCCCTGTGAGTCATTTTGTATTGGAACACATGATAGCGTCATTCAATCAGCCTGACCCAATATCTCTGCCCAATGGCTTTTCCGTTAGCTTGCCAAGGGTCTGACTGGCTAACTTGCTAACAAATTAGCAAACTCTCCTACGGACTAGTTTTTTGATGAAATTGTTACCTGTCTACATGAGTCTGTGTCTGTCTTCTGAATTTGCTAGCTAGTAAACGTAACACCAATAACTGGTTGATTGTTATTGACTTAAAGTAACATTATGTCAGAATTTTGGCGTAAGATGCCTCAGACATAACATCGATTAGATGGCTTTCTGCACCCGTTAAAGCTGCGAAACATGAGGCAACAACAACACTGTTAACGACACAGCCTAACGTTATGCCGCAATCTGTCATGAATAAAATCAACAGGGATGTAGACTCTGTGTCTTGCTCAGTCACTCTCTTGTTTTCTCTTCATAACTTCATCCGTAATTCTCCGTCCTCTTCGTTCTCACAGCCATTGTATCAAACAGTAGCAAGACGGGCTAACTAGCTAGTGCAGTGAAGACGTACACACTTCATGCGAGATAGAGAGACTTTGTTTATGTAGATGGATATACATATTGTTGTTTTAACTGGTTAGCTCTCTGTCCAAATAATCAACTTGTTTACTGGTCAAATAGCTAGTAAAAAAGGTGGATGTCCTGATGACAAACAAAGCTTGAATTGTGGAAAGGCAGTCTAAACTGAAAGTCCGAGGCACTCTGATGTTGTATAAAATCCTTTATGAAACAGGGATGTGTCTGAGTCATCATCAGGGCATGTCCAAACTTTGTTTGTCATCAGGACAGTCAACTTTTTATCAGCTATTTGACTTCTGTCTCTTGTTCTTGAAGATCACCTGTATTCCTCTACATTTGTTTGACCCAGTGCAGCACTCACTTCTACTTTCTTTCTTTGTCTAACCCTAACCATGTATTCATGATCCAAATGTTTACCTGGGTAAACGACGTTGGGAATTTCCTGACTTAGATGCCTCTTACCTGATTTGCAGAGATTGTATAACTACTGAACTGGTTACATAATTGGTTGATTGGCTAAACTTGCACTTTTCATGACTGGCAAATTATTGGCTTGGCTGATAGGCTGTATAATTAGTAGGTTGTATAATTAGTAGGCTGTATAATTACAACTACATTGGTTAGCTGTTTACTCTTGATTATTGGTAAACTAACTGGAGAGTGTTAACATGGCGGAAGGGCTTACTGGAAAGTGCAAGTGAGCAACTGGACACCAGTCCAATAAATGGATGTCCAAAAGCAGAGCGACACATCGCTGTTCTCCTCTGCCAGACTGCCTGTGGTGGATTAGGGTCATGACTAGTCAGCTATAATTGAGGTTGACACTCAGCTACACCTGATCTAAAGACCAATTAAGCACAGTACACAGAGAATCAGGTCAGTTTTTCAGAAACTTTTTAACTTTTCTTTTTTTGAAGAATAGGCAATCTTTTTTTATTTTGGGATGTCAACATTGTAATCATTACTAGATCCCTTTATAAGGTCTTGTTTATCACAGAAGGTTGCACTGTAACAAAACCTACATCCTTAAAGGTACTTCTTTGTTCAGTCAGTTTTTAAAAATCCCAGAGCTCCCTGAAACATGTCTGTGAAGTTTCTTGTTCTAAATCCACTCTGATCCTGTATTTCATCATTCCTATAAACCCCTCTATTTCAGCCCTGCTCAGAACAGGCTGTTTCTGTGTCTGTAGCTTTAAATGTTAATGAGCTGTGTCTGACCACGCCCCCTCTCTGGAAGGGCTTGGGGCTCGGGCTTTCTCGCTCCATGTTCTATTATTTACAGTGAGAAGGCAGACTCAGAGGGCAGAACAAACACCTATCTGTGTGAGTGTCACCCACCTGGGGGAGGGGTTACTGCCCTTTGTGATGTCATGATGGGAAAATCTCTAAATGGCCTGTTTGAGCACACATTTTCTGAAAAGTGGAGCAGGCAAAAGACGGAGAGGATGGACTTTTCTCATAACTTGTTGACAGACTAGGGACAGATATTAGTGTTAGAAACACTGGACATTAAAAACTAAAAAGTATTAAGACATATGAGAAGGAATAGATGCCAGCTCTCAAGCAGTGCCAAAAGCAAAGGCAATAAAGTTCTTCATAATTAAACAATTAGACTAGATAATTGGACGATTAAATGTAACTTTTTCCCAGCAGTAACAACCACTGTTTCTGTGTTTTTTGCTCATCCAGGATGTTTAGCTGGGTGGTCAAAATTGGTCCCCAGCTGCCTGAACCACCACCCAGAAAAATTGAAGTGCAGAAGGAGGAGAAAGCATCCGCAGCTTCGGCCACTACCCCCGGACCTGTAAGCCACGCCTCCCTATTAATGCATGTATTAATTGGCAGACTGTTTAACACTGTTTTTCCCCCACTACTATTAAGGGACTCAAAATTAAAATGTGCTCCTTCTGACCTTAAATATAAATTAATTCAGAAAGATCTTGTCTGTGTTTTATGGGATAGTGCTACCCGTCTGTGAAGTCCAAAGAGCATTATTTGATATGAGCTGTCCGTCTATCGAAATGCTTCCTCTAAAATCTTAAATAAAGCTTTTATTATAGAGAAGAAAAACGTGCTTCCCATTTCCTCAAAGTGCAAATGCAGGGTGTAGTTGAGTGTGAAAGTGATTGTGTACTGGGAGCATTAAAGGAGACTGTTCCATTGAGATACACCTCCCCAGAAATCTTAAATAATAGAGTACCATGTCATGTTAGCATTATTTGTAGGGGGAAAAAAGATAGCCTCTTTTATGGTTTTGCGCCATGGCAGCACAATTCGACGGAGCACCGGCTTTCACTGTATGTAAATATTAAGTGTCAGAATTTCTTATTGCCATTCAGCAGAGTTTTTACTGACTTTGAAAACATTATATTTGAGTATAAGCCTGTATTTAATGTAAATAAATGTACATTTTAGTCTTATACTTACATTAACCTTTATTTTTGTTTGTTTTTGACAGAAGAAAGTTACTTTTAAAGATGATTGCAACGCTGAAGGTAAGTTCTCTCTCAATGAACATTGCTTGATTTTTTTCTTGTTGATAGTATCCTACACTAAGACTTCTTCTTTTCTTTTAAAGCTACAAAAGCTGACAAATCTAAGCAAGAAACACAGCCAGAAGAGGGAAACGGGTGAGTTATTCCGTCATTTATATAACATCACTCTAGTTATCACAAACAAATAATAGATTTTATTGGCCGCTTGGTGATGTAATGACACAAAGCCTGACTCGCAACATGCTAGCTAGAAAGAACACGCTACTGTAAGCTAATCTGCAAAAACCGTACGCCTACGCTAGCTGTCTGAGAACTAATTCATCAATAGCTTTTAGAAATGCTAACTTAGCTTTTAAAGGCTTTATCAGTTCTACTTAACATACATTTTTTTTAAATTAAACTGCCTTTCCCTCAAAATAACAGCAATGCTTCACGTCATGCATTAGCCAATTTTATTAGCAACTATACTGTTTGCTAGCTATGCCTTAAAGTATGTTGGCCTGTTAGATAAAACTAATTTTAGCAGCTATTCCAGCACTACTGAATGTGTTGAACCTAAAAAAACATCTGGTAACAATGTGACACAGTAAACTAAAATGTTTGATTCATATTCAGGATTTTGAGGTTCTTAGCAAGAACATCTGTGTTTATGTTTACAGTCCAGCTCCTGGTTCTCCGTCGGGTGTTTTAGGGTGGATAAGCAGCGCTCTACCTCAACCTGCAGTTTCACCAAAGCTGAGTCGAACCAACTCCACCACCTCCAAGGTTAGGATCAGATTTTACAATGACATATCCTCATAAATTCAGTTATATGCCGATGACCTTTTAATATTTCCATCATCTTCTGCTCCTCCATGTCTCCTTCCTCCTTCACGCCTCTTTACACAGGACGAAAACACAACAACCGGGTAAACAGTGCGCATGTGTGTGAGAGATGTGTGAATTTGTTCAACCAGAAAATGTAAAAGAAAATACAAAATAAACTATTTTAAGTTTAAATCTTAATGGATTGTGCAGCTTACCAGTAGGGGGAGCTGTGTAATTCAGTCTAGCATTGATAAGATGTAAGTCCACATCACATCTCAAGTCTTTGAATAAGAGTCTGACTCGTGTCTCAACATCAGAGATTTTCCATGTCACAGATTGCTGACAGACAACATAAGTATGATGAAAAAACAAGTTCCTGGTTGAACGCTCACTATGAACCACTTGTTTGTACGAAGTCTATGTGTCAAAGTGAAAGTAGTGTTTAGATCTTTCCTCTCTGTTCTTTCTTCTCTGTGTGGCGACAGTAATCCTGAAGACAAGTGAGTATCAATGAATAACTGCATGCCAAATAGTGAGCTGCTTTTTGAACCAATCAGCTTGCAGGATGCCAAATAATGAGCTGTTTTTAGAAACCGATGAACAACCAGGGTGCCCATTAGAAGCTAACCCTAACCCAAAAATAAAATGCCAAACAGTGACCTGCTCTAAGAACCAATCAATAGCAGTTATAAGTCAGCTGTTCTATGAGCCAATCAAAACACCAAATAGTTATCTGCCATAAGAACTAATCATTAAGCAGGATGCCAAATCTTGAGCACCTAGGATTCGAAACTTAAAGATAATCAATGAGCCAATCCACTCGTTGACTGCCCAAGAATGAGTGGTAATATGAACGACTAAGAACACAGGATGCCAAATAGTGAGCTGTTATTTAAACCAATCAATAAAAAAATGGATGCCAAATAGAAACTTGCTTTATATCTACACAAGCTGTGTTTTCGTTTCTGTCTACAGAAAAGGGATGATAGCTTGGATCACTCAGGGTTTGGAGAAAGTTGTTCCTCAGCCCGAGCTGAAGAGCAAAGAGCCGCCACCAGCTGAGCCGCCCACAGCCGAGCCGCCCATAGCCAAGCCACCCACAGCCGAGCCGCCCACAGCCGAGCCGCCCACCGAGGTAAACTCTCAAACTACAAAAGTCTGGTGTTACCCGGAAGAGTCTGGAGTAATTCCGAAAGGCCACAGAAAACCCTGAAATAAAAAATAAATCTGAATTGTAGGGTGATGTACTGCAACTGCTGCACAACAATTTCCTTCAGGATTAATACAATTTCACCTGAACTTATTGTATCTTTTCTTAGCTCGTCTAGTTTCTTATTTTTGCTTCTTATTATGAGTATTTTTGGGTTTCTTTGCTCAGAAAACCCTCTTTTATTGAATATTTATTTTTGGGCTGTTTATGCCTTTATTTGAGGGACTGGACAGTGGAGTTGGAAATCAGGGAGAGTGAGAGAGTGGGGAATGGCATGCAGGAAAGGAACCACAGGTCGGATTTGAACCTCAGCTGCCTGATTTTAGCACAACAACCTCTGTTCATGGGGCGTACAAACTTATCACTCGGCCACCGCTGCCCCAGAAAACCTTCATTTGATGTTCACCCTCAGAGAAACAGTCAGGTCAGCTGGTCATGTGAACTCCTCTGTTTGTCTCTCCTCAGGTGTGTCAGAAAGCAGCTGCACCAGGTGAGAACAGTTTAAATACCTCGGCAGATACAGCAGAGATTCAGACTGGAAATGTAACTGATAATTTGTATATTTTAGATGCAGTGCCTCAGACGACTGTGAAGGACACAGGCAGAGAGGAAAAGACTGAAAATAAGCCTCACCCACCCAGGTATGTGTGTGTGTCTGTGTGTGTGCGTCTGATATGGCACGATCAATAAAAGATATACAAATATATAAAAAGGAGGGATGGAAATGGAGAGAGGGCCTTGTTGCATGTGAAGGTTTTAAGTTACAGAGTTGACTTGTGTTCTAATGTGTGATATTTAAATGTATGTATGTGTGTTTGTGTGACTCACAGGATGATCGACTGGATAAAACAGGGTATAGAGAAGGTCGTTCCTCAGCCAGAGTTTCATGTCCGTTCAATCACAGACGCCAAAGAGAAGCCGGAGCCTTCTGCTTCTACTGAAGGTACCTTCAGCCTCAAATCCTCACTGCAGATGTATTTCATAACTCGTGGTTATGATTTTATGACCGTGTTATGTTTTGGGTGTTGAAGTATGAGTATTGCTAACCTGAGTGTTTTCTGCTTGAAACAGCAAAGGCATCAGAACCTCCACCATCTCCAAAACCAGCCACTGACACTGAGAAGTGAGTCTGAATCAACACAACACAATATACAAACGTTTGAGTAGCACAGCAAGGGTTCAAAGGATTCTCTGCTAAGGGGGGGGGACAGGTACTAATATATATACTGTACATTATCCTCCATCTTTAACTGAAGGAACATTTTCAATACAGGTTTTAGTTATTGTAAAATTATGTTTACAGTTTGTATTAGTGGTGTGCAAAAGTTACCAAATAGCGAAATGTTTACACGTGCCAAAAAACGTTTAAACGGCTGCCAGCTTCTAGTGTTTCCCCACACATAGACGATACCTGGGCGGGCCGCCCCAGTATTTTTCCGAGGTCCACTGTCCGTACACCCCTCTTGTAAAAGCATCGCTGTTGCTCTGTGCTTTGTGCAGTGACATGTGCACGTTACCACATGTTTAAAAAAAACAAAAACAGTTTAAACGTTGTTTAAAACGATTTGCGATTTTACCAAACATTTTGTGTTTAAACGTTTAGAAGTCACACCTCTCGTTTGTATTTCAGGTATTTAGTCCTAAACAGGATCTACAGTAGATGCCTCCTCAACCACTAAGTTAAGATGTTGACAATAGCACACATGAGTTAACAACTAGACGGCAAACATTTCTTTTGTCCTCGCAGGTCTTCAAAGGAAGCAGAGCAGCAGCCAAAGTAAGAACAAACTGTTTTTTTTAAAACATCACAGGTCCAGAGGAAAGTGAAACTGATTACATGATTAGTCAATGCAATGCAAGCCACAAACTGCCTCAAATCCCAAACACTAGTTGATTAAATCCTAGCTGCCAAAAATCCCCTCCGTTTATTAGATACTAATTAGTTACAGTTACGTTATAAACTTTTGTCTTGCCTCTATACATACATACATTCCATAAACTATCTAATATGTGAAGAGTGCAAGAGAGTATATGTTAGTTTATGACACATAGGTTTTGTAGAGAAACATAGTATTTATCTGGACTTAAACTTTGTGCTTCATTGACAGAATGATGGGCTGGATCGTTGACGGGATTGGCCGCATGTTGCCTCAGCCTGTACACAAGCAGGTGAGTCACTGCAGGACGTTTTCTCCTCATGCACAATCATACATCCAAGTTTCAGACAGCGAGGCATCGTTAAACGTCATCCTGATACCTTACTTTTTCTCCTCCTGCAGGACAGCGTCAGAGACGAGGTGCAGAAAAGTGAGTAAGACCTTCCACAGCTTACACTAACAGATACAGCAGGCCTGCACGCTATTAACAAATATGTGTGCTGTGCGTCGATCACATTGTTCAATATTGCGATAAATTGGGATAAATAACCAAAAAGAAGGAGTGCAAATTAGCTTTAACTTACAGTTCATGTCGATCTGCTGTTCCTCATATTTTACACAGCACCTGTGTTTGCAACATGTCGCTGCTGAGTCCAAAAGATAAAGAAAAAAGTTGGCTTTTTCACCTAATAATTGGCACTAATTAATCTGAGAGTAGCTAACAGCTAGCTTGAGCTTCATCTGACCGCATCAAAATGGTGTGAAAGCATGGACCGCTGTAATGTACACATGCTGAGGTTGAAAGCAGTGATTTGTTACTTTAACAGTAATTTTTTTTAACTGCGATTAATATAGACTTTTGTAATGTGTTTATTATGAAGTCTCAACTCGAGGTAACGATGAAATAGCAATTAATTGATCAGAGCTAATATACAGTCGAATCATTGCCCGGATATCTATGTACTTTATGGACTAATACCACAGACTAAAATGTAGACAAGAAGTGCAGAGGTTTCAGAGAATAGAGACTTGTCCCTTTCTGTGGATTATTTAAAATACAACTGTAGGGGCGACGGATAGCCTAGGGGATATGTCTAGTGTTGTAGACCAAGACATTTAGGGATTGAGACCGAGTCAAGACCAAGACCATAAATATAACTGAAAAATCATCAACTTGTCTGCGGGGGGCGTGTCACTCACTGCGACTGTAACCAGGGGAAAAAAATCGAACTACAAATAATTTGAAGTTATTTCTTATTCTAGGAAGGGGCGTTTTCCTTCTAATCGCAGTAATGACGTGGAAAAATAGCTTATCAGTGGTGGTCTTGACCGGTCTTGATTTAAAATCTGGAGTCTGGCCAGTCTAGACTGAGTAAAAATGCTTTTGATTCCGAGACAAGACCGAAATGGCAAATATTGAGACCAAGACCAATTTTGACTTCTACAATACTAGTTTTGTCAACCACCCCATGTGCGGATATGTATAGTCTTCATGCAGCAGCAGTAACTGCAGTATTCAGCGTTGTAAATTGATTCATTGGTTGAGCTGTTTCTGCCTGCTGTGTATTCATTGGCAGGTGTCAGTGACGAGGCCGACTCTAACCGAGCTCCCCCTCTCCTTCTGTTTCAGGGGGGAAAGGCCGCGAGCCCCTTTGAATAAAAGGAGAAGGTGGAGGACACGGAGAGAGTCGCTCGCACTGACACTGAGAGCCGCCTAAACTCTTTAAACTAACTGAAGGAGGAGGCACAGACGGAGCTGTTTTTAAAACAGCGACGCGATAATCGATTGCTGCTCTGTTTCAAAACTGCTTTGCAAAGCTGCAGTGCATTTAGTTTTAGTCATGATGCACTATAAACATTTTATAAACAAAATGAAAAATATAAACAAATCAGAGGTTTTTTTTACTATAAGATGTCTGTTTACATGCGTTTAAAGTTGTTTACAACATGTGGGATAAATGAATGAGATTTAATAGACTCAGGCCTCGTCCATTTCAAAAATGTAGGTTGTTCTGTGAGTTTTGGTCTGTCGTACACAAACAGCATTTTAGTTCAGTGATAATGCACCTTTTGTAAAACTCCTTCCAGAGTGAAGATTTTCAGGAACTCAGTTGAAGGTGTTTATGTGTAGACGGGGAAAACTGTTTTGTTCTTGTCATGTCATGCTGTGCACCGGTTTCTCCTCCGTTTGACATCATCGTGCAACGCTGTCACTTTGTTCTCATGAGATTAGTGCGATGGCAGACGTAACCAAGCTAGTGCTGGTGCTAACGATGCTAACTGGACCTTTTACATGCTTGCACATACATACTCTCATACTCTCCCACTATGTTGACGAGCAGAGGCGCCTCAATGGACTACTATGTAAATCACTGGAGGATTGGAATGACATCATTTTTGACTTGGCATGCTCATGACAGCTGTAACAGTGCGTTTTGCATTATAACATGGATGAAGATGTTTTTTTGAAGATGGATTCTGGAGGAAAATCTCTATTTTGAAAAATACCCGCCTACATGTGTGGACTAGGCCTCAGTATCTTCTACGTTTCAATAATGTTTTTTAAATAAGGAAAATACAATGTGAGCATTTAATCATGACAAAAAAAATCATCTGTAACTTAAAGATCAATCTATAAACCATGGTCACATCTCAGCATCATTTGTGATGAATCTCCTTTTGTTTCCATTTTGTTGCAAACTGGCACAAGCTTTTAGTTGCAGTTCTCGACTCCCATTAGAACATTTTTTTAAACATTTTTGCTGATTTTACAAAAAGGATCTATCAACGCACAATGCATATTGCTGTACATTAGAAAAATAAAGACATTCATTTGTAAAGAAATCGGTGCTTTTTGAGTGTTTTTGCAGAGTTGATTAGTCAGCCTGAAAGTGCAAGGAAAAATAATCAACCAATGAATCAATCCATCAATGAGTCTAACAACAATTATGTTCTGAAACGTGTTATAGGTCTGCGTCTAAGGTTAAGATCTAAAGTGTTTGCCCGGAAGATGTTTTTTGTCAGCGATGTCTTTATTTCATTCAGCCAGTAGATGATCAGCTACACACTCACATTAGAGTACTATCAAAATAACCATCATCAATAGTTGTTTTTCCCCCCTGACATAAATATATAGTTTCACATAGATGATAAACAGTATATCGGACACATACCGTACATAGCCAGATATTCCTCAGCTGTCTTCATCCTGCCATGTGGTGTTCAGTCAGCATCATACAGGAGAAGACAGACCTGGTCCTGGAGGATGTGGAACAGGACAAGGAGGCCAAGCAGCAGGAGGAGCAGATAAAAGACAAGAATCTGCAACAGATGGGAAAAGAGGTCAGTGAGATTCATCCAGTAAGACAAGGAGGAAACATAAGATGAAGATTTTTGTGCATTTCTTTTACTATGTAAAAGTTTAATCATGACCTGGACAACGTCGTCCCCATAACTTCTGTTATGATTATTTGGAAAGTGCAACTCTGATGACTTAGTCATTTATAGTCAGCAGACAGAAAGTCATGATTTGAACAGTGTAAATGTTTTTATTATTAGAAAATATGTGAGATTTGGCTAACAGGTTATTTTTATTTGTAGTCCCCGGTGGTGAGAACAGATGAGTCGGAGAAGAAGAGAGTCAAAAACAGGGGACGCTTTTTACAGACATGAAGACGAAAGAATTGTGCAGTTTCCTCTTATGAACCCCCTTGTCATACTATTGGTATCAGTCCCTCTGTTGATTTAGGCTACAGGATAGGCTGGAGGCAATTATAGGCGACTTTGTATTGCAAGCACAAATTTGTATATTTCATTTTTTTTAATTGGGCAGAGAAAGACATTCTTTGCTAATTCATCAAATTTAATTTAGGCTACTTGTAATTGTTCAACCTGCTACAAGTAAATGGTTAATGGACTTGAGCTTATATAGCGCTTAAAGGGCTTTTACACCGCAGGTCACTCCTACACATTCACATACTGATGGCAGAGTCTGCTATTTAAAGTCAGACATCAGAAGTAACTTATCCTGTTCCCACACATGCATATGTTGCCAGTGAAGTGTCTTGCACAAGGACACATTGGACATGTGGCAGCAGGAGCTAGGGCTCAAACCCCAAACCTTCCGGTTGAGAGACAACCGTCTCTACCAACTGAGCCACATCAGCCCCAAGTCTATAAGGATCACTTGTATGTCTTTTAATTTACAAGAATGAGGTGTTCAAGCAGATGCTGGCTGTTTAAGACGCATTAAGTTTGATGCAGCACCATGTGGTGACCTCGGCCTTTGAACCGCTGAGCTTTGCTGCAACAGCTGCTTTAGTTCTCAGTGTCATCCGCAAATATAAGAGTTTCAACTTCAGGACAACCAGATGGAGGGCCATTAACAAAATGGAGTGGGCCAATAATAGATCCTTGTGGGATCCCCAGTGGGCAACAGCAATGATTTGGATCAGTGATAAGATATGGAAACTTGCATTAAACTTTAAATTACTATAATGGTCCAGTGGTTCTCACTGCAAGGTTAAAGACATTATATTTAGAGAGCTTGACTAGGAGAACTTTCTAATTGGATTCAAAGAGTAGTGAGAGTAGTGCACTGTTATTGAGATGAGAAGTTTTACGTTCAACTTCCAGTTTCTCAGCAACCATGTATGCTGTCAGGAGAATGCTGATTGGCTTAATTTTACATTTGGGAATTGGGTTGCAAGATTTGAAGATGGGAGTGAGTAGTAGCAGTAGAAGAGTTCCAAGAATTTAAGTAGTGCAGGGATGTTGAGAGGCTAAAGATAGAAGTAATTGGATTAACTAGTGCTGAACCAAAGTCGTTGGTCATAGCTGTTTACATCCCAAACACATCCTTTGCAGGTGAACGTTTAAGGGGCCGGCTAATTCTCATGACTTCCTCATATGTGATGTTTAGGGAATGCATCAGTTGAATATTGGTATCAGACAAAATCATCCCTGATCTAAGATATCGGGCGCCAGCAAGACAATGTGGCAAGCACCACTGTCAGTAGCCGATGTGTATTTGTTGTGTTGCATCAATTTAATGCTGGCATGCTAGTATGCCTTACTGCTGATTCAGAGGAGATGGTTTTTATTGGGAGGAGAAAGTCACCATTTGGACGCTCAGTCTCTCTGAAAGATCAGCAACATGCAGTTTGTGCGACATGTTCCAGTGACATTTAAGAGAACACAGCTAATTGGAAAAGCAGAAGTTATAAAGAAGTAAGGAAAAGCTGTGGTATGTGTGGTTAGTTTTCTCAACTGGGCATCTTTAGTTTTTCTAAAGTAAATAGATACAATCTATCCTTGAAGTGAGAGAAGCCCTGGGCAATATAAGCTACAGATTCAAGGAATGATCTCTTTTTCTGGTTGTTTGCAGGAAAAGGATATAGATGCACACATGGATCAATGTACTCCAGTGATGAGCAAAACCATGAAGGAGGCAGAAGTGGAAGTTTTGGCTCACATGGAGGAAAGGTTTGCAACCAATCTCTGCATATTTGATTGTTTTCCTGTCATTCTTATTCTGTTCATTCTTTTCATTACTGAACCATGAATGAAAATGTCTGCCAGTTGTTCTGTTTGCACGATGATTTAATCTACACTAAGATATCTTGGCTTCTTAAGAATTGCAGCATCTTATAGAAATTGAAGCATTAATGGGGACAGATCAGGGCTTATGTTGTATCTTTCTTTCTTCTGTTTTAGTCTTCATTCAGAAATTCCATTTCCTTGAATTTGGGTGATAAACTGAGCTCTTCCTTGCTGTGTAGATTGCAGCAGGAGTGCCTGGAGGCGGCCCGCGTAGCAGAGGACATGGCCAGAAGGGCAGCAGAGGAGGCAGTCCGACAGCTGGAGGAGGAGCATTCAGCTATGATTGTCATTGAAACGCAGCCAGAGTCCAATGAGCAGTAAGTCACACGGATGTTCACAGATCATTGGCAATTACATATTTGGTCCTTTAGCTGATACATTATTCAACAACTGTCCTTCTGTTTGTTCTCAAAGACTGCCCAACATCCTGGAAGAGGAGAACGAGGATGACCCAGAGTAAGTCCATCTTTCTGAAACCCAAACTAAACCCCGGTTTCTCTCTTATATACTGCTGCTCTGTTGAGTAAATCCTAGCAAAGGTCTCAGGCATGTCAGATTCATGTGTTTCTACTGATTGGTTGTTCTTGTAGATGAACAACAGGGTTACTTGTAAAATGTATGTTGTGTCAAAGCATTAATTTGGTATATGACTGTATCACATCAAAAAGGGAGGGAGAATCTAAATATGTATCTCGTTTTGATGTTGCCTAACCCATGATACCTGCTACTGAAAGACACCAGTGTAGTGTTCATCGAGTGTAGTGGTGCAGATCCAGATGTAAGATTGGAATCCAGAACCAGATCCAAAGTTTTGCTTGCTGGGATGAAATCCACAAAACATGGCAGCAACAATGGGTCCAGAGATTGCACACATTTGGTTCTCTTGGGTCTTGGGAGTTGGCATTATCTACATGCCTTTGATGCACAGGATCAGTGGCAATGCTAGAATCTTTTTGGCAAAATTTTCACAGGGGGCCTCTCCAACCAGCGTTCATTAGGTAATGAATTAACAGACATGGTAAGCATTAGCTACTCTAAAAATGGCATTAGCAGGGACCATGTTTATTTTGGCAACATCGCCCACGGCCAAGTTCACTGGTTAGAAAGTATAAACACTGTAACTTCTGGCTTATTTGTGTTCTTTAACTTCAGAGGAAGTTTTCTTCTTTGAATGTCTCCTCCATAGTTAAAGCTAGACTAGCAGCATTCGCTCATTTATTCTCTTTATATCATTATCTGTTCCACTTACCCCTATCTTACTTTATTTTTTTAACTCTCAGACATATATTTCTTCTTCATTATCCTTTGGTGACTTTCATGGACAAACTTTGGTTTTCACAGGAATAACGGCTGCATACTCAACAAGTGCTGTCAGATGGGTCCCCTAGGGAGGTTTCCTACTGTCATTGCAAAATTTTCACATTTTGAGCCACTGCTGGGGTTTAAAGTTTGTCAGCCCTGAGCAGTTGTCTGCCATGCCTGTTGACGAGCAGCAGCAGGATTTGGGGTTTATTGTTAGTGATCACACCTTAACATACAGATAGTCTCTAAATGTTTAATGAACACAGAGCATCTGAGTAGAAGCATCAGTATTGCAGTTTTTCAGGAGGTTTATTCTGCTCTTTTGGGTTACATGACATTTTACATCTTCCCTCAGGAGCCATTTGGAAGTCTCTGTTGCTGAAGGTGACGGCACTCCTTCATCAACAGAAGTTGAGCCTGCATCAGAGAAGAGAGACCTGGAGACTCCAGTCTCTCAACAGATCAGAGGACAACTAGAGCAAGAAGCTTCAGAAGATCAGACCGGCCCCACAGATCAGGTGTGACAAAACTTGAGTGCATGACTAATGTCCATTCTATCTCCGTATCTATTACATATATCATATTGCATCGTAGTGTATCGTATCTTATCTTTTGCATTGTATCATATCCATCTAACATATCGTATGTCATTTCATGTCACCTTACTTAAGTATTCTCATTTATCTTTTTTTAATCAGTGTAAATCTTTTTCTGTGTGTTTTGTGCTTTCATCAGGAGAATGCAGCCTCAACAGTAGAAGGAGGTGGATGTAGAGGTGAGAGCAGGACAATATGTTTCTCATGAATGTGTGTGTCAATGGTCGAAACATAAAAACACAACTAATGGATGTACGACAAAACCAATAAGGCCTTTATTTTAAGTTTTAAAAACAAATACATCATCGCTTACTATTACAGATCCCCACCAGACTTTATCTTAGTGAACTGATGTCATCTGTAAATATGATAAATGAATCCTGGAGTTCTTACTGAAATTAGGACATAAAAAATTATCTTAGTATCCATGTATCTTAGTTGTCGTAGTTTGGTGACAAGTGGGTCAAAAAGATTTTTGATTGGATCAAATTTATTAATACTCACATTTCTTGAAAACAGTAGGTACGTGAAGAGTCTCAACAACCACATGATAAGAGACGTTTTGATTGATTTGACAGCAGATCTAACATCTGATTTGTCGTCTTAAATGATAGATATCTTTCAACATGTGGGTTCAGTCTCACTTTGTGACATATTTTTCAGTTTAAGCTTCTTTCCCATAGTTTTCTACTTTCAGTCGATCAAAGATGTCACAGCCCTCTTCTTATTGTTGAAACTAAACGTTTCTCCGTCCAGTTCCCTGCAGTCGCTCCCCGATAAAGCGCCTTCTGCTTCGATTCCCGCATGCTGCCGGGCATCTGGAGAGCTGCAGGAAGCTGATGCATCAACATAACCTCACCCCTCCCAAACTGTCCATGCCGATCCCGCCGCAGGAACTGTGCCAGCTGACCACGCAGCTAACGCAGCTCCCAAAGCAGCTCCCAAAGCAGGCCCAACGGTGCTGCATGAGCATCGTCAACCTCTTCAGAAAACCTTAACTTCAAGCCCAGATTTCCTCCGCAGCCTTAACCCCGCCCTCCTCCAGCAGCTCCTTATAGAAATCCTTTTAGATCTGTCGTTTTTGTAGATTAAAAAAAAAAAAGTGCCAAACAAACCCCTAAATACCCATAACAGCCCACATCCACCTCATCATCCCTCCCATCATGCTCTGCTGCTCTGCACTGCTTCACCACAAGCTGCCAGCCAACATCACAACAGGTGAACTTACAGGCAGTTGATGTTTGTGCTGTGCTGTGCTGTGCTGTGCTGTGCTGTGCTGTGCTGTTTTATATCTACAAGGGTCGCTGTTTTCTCATGTTCCGTCACCGCTAATAAAGACGTTACCTTGTAGTCCAACCATTGTTTTCTGATCTGTTCATCAGGAAGCTGTGGTGCAGGTTTAAAAGAAGCTCCTGAAGTCAGGGTGGATGATGTGGATCAAGATGTGTGGCTTGAAAAAGGCCTTAACATCCCTCAAATTATCACAACCCCAGAACCAGAGAAAAGCACTTTGAACATGTCCAACATCCCCCTGCTCATTCATAGGTAACAGTCCTTGCTTTATGGAAGTGTTACAATTATTATCACAATAAAATACCACTTAGAATAGAATATTCTAATTTCTTTGCTACATCTTTTTTTTCAGTCCTGCAGGTGATCTGTCTGCAGACGAGGATGAGGATGAGCTGATGAGGCTCGGTCTGAAGACTTGGTCCAATCAGGGTGACCAGCTTTCTGCAGATGAAGAGTGAGAGGAACCTTTCACAAACATACTCCTTCCTCAATCTCTTATCACCTGTTTCTGTTCTGGACCTGTAACTGTCCTTCTGTGGTTGTTCTGTAGGACACGTCCTCTGTCAGCAGTAAGCGTGGGCAGCGTGGTGGTCCAGGACCGTCTGAGCGAGCTTGTCAGGCTGTTTAAAGGTCGTACAGAGCGTCAGAAAGAGAGGCTGGTGGACCCGGACGAGTCTGAGGAAGAGAGTCCCTCAGCCTGTATGTCATAACTTAAATTTGCATATTTAAACGTTCTTGTTCTTGCACAGGGTTAATCAGTTATGCGGCAGTTTGGAGGCAGCTCTCACAAATATGTTTTGAATTTGGACTGCAGTACCCGTTTTAAAGCCTAGGTGTCAGAGTTACATATTGCTCCTTTAACATTTTTTGTAATGATAAATGTACAGGGTTTTGAATTATTATTTACCTCATCAGGTATGCTAAGGCTGAAAGTTATTCAAAGCTAGGAGTCTGGCTGCATGCTGGCTGAGAATTTAATTCACAGATGTGGACTGTTTGGGTAACTGTTTGTCCAAATAGATGCCAATGGCCGTTAAAACATGCACCTTAAAATCATGAATGGAAATTCTTAGATGTATATACTCAACTAATGGAAAAGTACTATCATCTTATTTTCAACGACAATTAAGAAAACTCTTTCTATTCATTAGGACTATTAAATCGTATAAAGCCTGAGAGTAGCAGCTGTTTCCAAGGTCAGGAATTAATTGATATTAAACTGAAATGTTCAAACTATAAAATCTGTTTTGAACTGTCTCCAAACTGTCCTGATGAAACCATGTAATCAAATCGTTTCTGTTTGATCTCTGCAGCGCCTAGCAAAGCCCCACCTCCTCCTCCACCTCCTCCAGGAGAAGAGAAGAAGGACGATGCACCTGCAGCAGCAGAAGCAGAAGAAGAAGAAGAAGAAGAAGAAAAAGAAGAAAAGGAGTGGGAGCTCCCCTTCAAAGTTCTCGGACTACCGGTTAAATTTCCCAGACTGCCACGACTTCCCAAACTTCCCCAGCTGCCCGACTGGCTGAGACCCATCATCCAGTATCGCTTCCCCTCCAGCATCGACCCCTTCACCGGTGAGCTGCGATTGTTTTCTTCTGTCTGACATCAGACTAGTAGTCAGATAGATCTATATTCAACATTTGCAGAAAGCTGGCCTAGTTAGCGTCCATTTTGAGACTCATTTGCTATGAATCCTGGGTCTCACCTGTTTTCTGTTTATATTTCAGCAGATAACATTTGTCTCTTATTGCAGTAAATCAGCTCCTTTAGCAAAATGTGAATATTTTGTCTTTATAGTATCAATTGAAGAACATGTGTGAAATCAACATATTAAAAACACATTGTAACACATGTATTCTCACATAAAGGCTTTTCTCATTCTTCATCTTGGCTTCCATCTGTTTACAATGTAGAGTAGAGGACAGATGTATTGCCACTGAATGCAGGGGTGTGTCCAGACTTTTTGGACTGTGGTGGCACAACCGGAGTGGCCCTACTGGGGCACTGACTTGTGTAGCTCAAACATGAATGAAGAACATTTATTGACCCCTTCTGTCTGCACGAATCACATCGATGTTTAAGTAACAAAAGATAATGGCAACAGATACATCTTCTAGGTTTAATTCGGCAAGGACTTAAAACATTATGTCACAAAGTATTTTACAAATTGTAAACAAACTTCTGGACATGGAAAACTATGAACAAATCCTGAAAAGTGGATTTCTTAAGTGTTTTCTTAAGGGACATAAGCCCCACCTCTGGAAAGGCAAATAGACCAATCATAGTTTAGGATTTAGGGTTGGCACCTGGGGGGCCCATGCCTCCCTTGACCACCCCTCTGGACACACACCTGACTAAATGACATGATACTTGACTTATTCAAAAATAATATGCAAATTTAATAAATACATTTTGTTGTGATTTTAAGACATTTTTATTATGCTGTACAGAATTTCTTCTTATGAAAAACGATCTTTTGGATGCAGTGAACTTGACACGTTTGGCCTTTTTAAGTGCAGCAGTAATATTATGACTTGTCTGATGAGCACTTCTTGTCCACAGATCTGATCTACGTGATCTGGCTCTTCTTGGTTGTGGCGGCGTGGAACTGGAACGTGTGGTTGATCCCCGTCCGCTGGGCGTTTCCCTACCAAACCCCTGAAAACATCCACCTGTGGCTGCTGATGGACTACACCTGCGACCTCATCTACATCACCGACATCCTCGTCTTCCAGCCCAGACTGCAGTTTGTCCGCGGAGGAGACATCGTGGTCAGTGGCATCGAGAGAATGTAACACTCTGAGTTCAGGACAAACAACTTCTTGTCTAACCTTTTCTTGCTTTTTCATTTCAGTCTGAAAAAAAGGACATGAGAGAAAACTACATGACCACTGAGAGATTTAAGGTAGGACTAGAACCTGTGCATTGGATTAGTCAGAAAGGAACGAGGCATCTTGTCTGCTGTTAGGATTATTAAAGTGAAGGATTTATAGTGCTTATCTGTTTTTCTCTGTTTGTTATCTCAGTTATTACACAAGCATTCTGTATTAATTAAAAAATATACAAGATAGGGAGCGTCGATAGCCTAAAGTCCTCACACAGCAGCTGTGAGTTTGAATCCGACCTTGAACCTTTGCTGCATCTCATCCCCTACTCTCTCCTCCCAACATTTCCTGTCCCTCTTCAGCTGTCCCATCCAATTTCTGGATCATGTACACGGTCCTCCAAATGAATGAAATATCTGGAAATGTTTGACATCCTTGGACAAAGAGATGTTATATGGACCTGACTTAAAGGCATTATTAACTGAGTTTGTTTCTAATTAGTATTTTCTGACTGAAGCATGTTTTATATGAAACAGGAGAGATTTGGTTTTGTGTCTGAGCATGTGTTTCCTGTGTGTTTTACAGATGGATGTCATCAGTCTGTTTCCCATGGAGATATTTTACTATTTCACCGGAGTGAACTCTTTGCTGAGATTTCCTCGCCTGCTGAAGGTCCGGATGTATTTCACATTCTTGGTTCACACGTACAGTATATTTGATTAGATGTTTTTGTAAACAAAGATCAGTAGCATGGGACAGCAACAACTACGCTCTGCCCCCTGAAGTTGTTTTTCAGTGAAATGCAGATTTGAACACTACTCTTTCTCTCAGTACATGGCCTTCTTTGAGTTCAACGACAGAATGGAAGCAGTGATGAAGAAAGCCTATATCTACAGGTGAGAAAAGTGTTTCACCTCACTATGATTGTATTTTCTCTTCTTTGCCTCTTCATCCACAGCCGTCATATTTACCAGTTTGAATCGCGTCCAATTGCTAAATGGTATCCACTTTTAAACTCATCTGCACCCTGTCATTGGCTGGAGGAAAAAGACCAGCTTCCAGCCCAGAAACATCCCGAGTCAACCAAAAAGAAAACGTCAAAATCCAGGCAGAGGACAGAGTCTCTGCAGACAGTCAACACACATGTATGGAGGCCCATCAGTGGTGATTGAGAGACATTTATTTTCTTAAGTGTGTATTTTATTTTTGGGGAAAAGCTAAAACAGGACTAGGCATTAAAAAAACAATTTAAGAGTGGCCTCCATCACACCAGTGTACAACAGTGTGTCATCTGCGTATGAAGCGTATGACTATTGAAGAACCATACAGTACACACATGCAATGATGTGATGTGCATCAACTCTTCAAATGTTCAGTCTTTTATGATGGTGTTTTGTTTCAGGGTGATTCGAACCTCCACCTACCTGCTCTACTCTCTGCACATCAACGCCTGTCTCTTCTACTGGGGCTCCGACTATGAAGGCCTGGGATCAACCAAGTGGGTCTACAATGGAAAAGGAAACGCGTAAGAAGAACCCAAATGAAGCAGAGGCTGTTAATCTGCTTCTTCTTCGTTCCACATTCACCATACAAACTGCAATAAAGGCTATAAGGAGTTACTTTTTGAATTCTCTCTTTTTCCCCCTACAGTTACATTCGGTGTTACTATTTTGCTGTGAAGACGCTGATCACCATCGGAGGACTGCCAGACCCCACCACCGTGTTTGAGATCTGCTTCCAACTCATCAACTACTTTGTCGGCGTCTTTGCTTTCTCCATCATGATCGGTCAGGTCAGTTCACCATCAAACCGCTTTTATTCCCACACAAGTTTCTCTGACTTTGATGGCATAATTAACAAACACAGAGAAACATTAGGTCACATTTTTTAAGAGAAAAAGAGATAGTATGATAGAAATAATTTTGTCGAATAAACATGTTTTGTTTCTTAGATGAGAGATGTGGTCGGAGCAGCAACCGCCAGTGAGAACTACTACAGAGCCTGCATGGACAGCACCATCAAATACATGAACTCCTACAACATCCCCCGAGAGGTCCAGAACCGCATCAAGACCTGGTACGACTACACCTGGAAGATCCAGGGCATGCTGGGTAAGCAACAACAATATATTGTGTCATTAAATCAAGGTTTGTCAAAAAAGTGATAATGCACTTTTTCAAGGGGACAATAGAGGTGGAATAAAAAAGAGAGGCACTTTAATTAGACTCTGACGGTATAAAAGTATTTAAAGGTCCCATATTATCCTTCTCTTCAACCAGTGTAAATAAGTCTCAGAGCTCCCCAAAACATGTGTGTAAAGTTTCTTGTTCTAAATCCACTCTGATCCTGTATTTGATCACGTCTATAAACCCCTCTATTTCAGCCCTGCTCAGAACAGGCTGTTTCTGTGTCTGTACCTTTAAATGTAAATGAGCTGTGTCTGACCACGCCCCTTTTTTGGAAGGGTTAGGTGCCTTGGGCTTTCATCACACCTTAATGTTTACAGTGAGAAGGCAGACTCAGAGGGCAGAACAAGCACCTAGCTGTGGAAGTGTCACTCACCTGGGGGAGGGGTTACTGCCCTTTGTGATGTCATGAAGGGAAAATCTCTAAACGGCCTGTTTGAGCACACATTTTCTGAAAAATGGAGCAGGCAGAAGACGGAGAGGATGGACTTTTCTCATAATTGGGGGGTTTGTAGACAAACTACGGACACATATTAGTGTTAGAGAAACATGGTGAAGTGCCTTTCGTGATCTGAAATATGCAAAACAGATTAGATTAAAAGCTTATTCTTGACATCGGAAACAGAAAGTTTACTTCAGATTTACATGTCAACTCTAAATGGTAAATGAGCTTGTATAGAGCTTTTCTAGTCTTCTGACTTCTCTAAGCACTTTAACACCGCAGGTCAAACCTACACATTCACACACTGATGGCAGAGGCTGCTGAGTAAAGTGTCATAAGCATTAACACACCAAGCAGCGAGGGCAACTTGGGGTTAAGTGTCTTGCCTAAGGACACATCGGACATGTAGCTGCAGGAGCTGGGGCTTGACCGTCTCTACCACTGAGCCAGTCGCTCTAGAAGGCAGAGGCAACTTCAGTGTGCAAACAAAATGTGATGAATTGGAACATTATTTCTGGACGAAACCAAATAAAAAAAGGAATTACAATAAGATAATACATTAACAAAAACAATATAAATTGAGAAAAATTACTGATCTTGAGCTTTGATAGAATCACAGTTTGATTCATAGATGTGTAAGTAAAAATATGATCGAAGGCTCCAGATCAGTGTCTAAATGCACCTTTTTGTTAGTTTATTGCTCGTGTGTTTAAACTTTGTTTGCATTTGAAGCATGGTAAATAAATTGATAACATTGTGATTGTTTTCTCTGCAGATGAACAGGAGCTGCTGGTTCAACTTCCCACTAAAATGAGGCTGGACATGGCTGTGGACGTAAACTACGCCATCGTCAGTAAAGTTGCCTTGTTCCAGGTCAGGAGGAGAAAAATGTACCTGTTTTTTTAACTTGATCTGTGCCACCTTCCAAAGCAATCAAAGACTTTTTTTTTTCTTCTTGAAACCTTTTGTGAAAAGAAGAGCTGAAAAGTTCACACTGCCTGTGTGTCCTTCTCTCAGGGCTGTGACAGGCAGATGGTGTTCGACATGCTGACGAGGCTCAAATCTGTCGTCTATCTGCCCGGAGACTTTGTCTGTAAAAAGGTGATCGCCCACCTCTCTGAACTGTTAATCCTGTTGAAGACCACTGCAGCAGCCGTGTGTTAACCCGCTCTGTGTGTGTGTGTGTGTGTGTGTGTGTGTGTGTGTGTGTGTGTGTGTGTGTGTGTGTGTGTGTGTGTGTGTGTGTGTGTGTGTGTGTGTGTGTGTGTGTGTGTGTGTGTGCTGTGTCACAGGGGGAGATCGGCAGGGAGATGTACATCATCAAACAGGGGGAGGTCCAGGTGGTGGGCGGTCCTGACCTGCAGACGGTGTTTGTCACCATCAGAGCCGGCTCTGTGTTTGGAGAGATCAGGTCAGAGCTGCTTCCTGTTATCCTATTAACCCATTTATAAACTATATGTGGGCCAGAGCGGGGGTCCCTGAGTTCACTGGAAAAAATCAAATATGATGGATTTCAAATTCAAATTTAGTTTTCCCACAAACGTTTGTAATAATTTCCAGATGATTTTAAATCAGAGTTGTCTCTGTTTCTCTAAGAAGTCTGACTGCTGTACTCTCTGTTATTGGTCAGTTTGCTAGCGGGGGGCGGAGGAAACCGACGTACAGCCAACGTGAAGGCGCACGGATTCGCCAACCTCTTCATCCTGGATAAAAAGGACCTGGCAGAGATCTTGGTTCATTACCCAGAGTCGCAGAAACTCCTCCGCAAGAAGGCAAAGTAAGACAGTTCTGTTCCGTACCTGAAGTGCTGCCAGAAACCCAGGCTGTGGTCTAGTGGTTGTGTGGTCCTCTTACTGACACTGACACACACCGCTCAGAAGAGGGAAGGTCTCAACATGCCTGCTGATCTTAGATTGGATCAGACTGGATTAGATATACTTTACTATCTCCAGAGAGAAATATTACTTGGGACAAAAGTGCAGAGAAAACATACAGATCTGTGAAGCTTACATACAATAAAACAACTCAAGACAGGACAGTCATAAACCATATCAAGTTGGTCATCTCTCAACCAGAAGGTCAGGGGTTCGATCCCCAGCTCCTGCAGCAACATGTTCAATGTGTTCTTGGTCAAGACACTTAAGACCTGAAAGAGCTCTCGCTGCTTCTGCGGAGGTGTATGAATGTTTATGAATGGGATTAGTTACTTCTGATGGTCACTTAGCAACCACTGCCATCAGTGTGTGAATGTGTAGGTGTGACCTGCGGTGTAAAAGCACTTTGAATAGTCAGAAGACTAGAAAGAGTTACACAAGCTCAAGTCCATTTACCATTAGATGAACATACGCTTGATGTAAATGAAACACAATAAATACATAATCTTAATCATCTGCATAACTGTTTATCATGAATCATTAACTTAGAGTCAAGATAACCAAAAAGTCGTCTCAAAAGGCCTTTACTATAGAACGATTTCAGCATATGCAAGACAACTGGGGGCGTTTTCTTTGTGAACACCAGGGGGCGTAAGCACCTTAGGTATCAGCAGGCATCTATTTAAAGGAACATGGAGAGGCACCAGGAAGTTTTTTAACCATGTTCATGAGAGTCGGGCATGAATGTTTGTTTTTCTTGATCTGAATCAAATTAACCAAAAATACTTGACTACAACTTGACTTTAAAATGTCTTACTGCCTGCTGGAGCAGTGTGTTTTTTTTTTTTTTTTTGACAAATAGCCAAAAGAAACACTGATAAAAAACATTATTGTGGGAAGCCAGGGTGTTTTGTCAGAATTTGCACACTTTTCTTGTCCCTCCTTACAATCTGAGAGTCCATGGACCCCGGGATTAAGAGAGCTGATTGGTCAGCAGGAAGAAGCATCGTGAACATCACCTGTTCAGGAACAGGATATGTGTACATCATGATGTTAACATCAAAATCTACATTTGTAAAAAGTTAACCACCTTTGTAGAAGCGGCCTCTTGTGTGTACACAGGTCAAACAATCTTAACATAATAAAAGTAGACATTTTGTGTTTGATCCTAAAATAAACAAACTATTTAAAAGCCTTCCCAGTTTGTTTCCTGTTGTGCTCACCTGTCCGCCCTGGCCTTTCGACTGATCTGTCTCGTGGCCTGAACAGGATTAGATGAGGCGCTAATCCTTCTGGTTCAGACACTCAGAGAACGGGGTCAGACCAGTAGAGCGACCATCCAGCTGATCTTCACGCTCTTAGTGTATCTCCTCCTCCTCCTCAGTCTGATCATGGTGCTGCAGCAGAGTGCATGGATGTGCTGTAGGTGTTGGTACGAGACATCCACAGTTTTATACTTTTTCAGGGTCAGATTCTTGTTGTCTTTTATTTTGTGTTGAAAAAGAAGAACATGTTATGAATCAGCTCCTCACATGTTATCTCGTTCAGGGCAGCAGCAGTTTGTGTGTTTGTCCTGGGTGTGAGTCTCTATCTTTTTGTCTATATTTAACCTGTTGTTGTGTCTCTGTGCCTGTGCAGGACGATGCTGACAAAGGACAAAAAGCCGGATGAGAAGGTTGGAGGTAAAACAGCGGTGGAGGTCATCCCGCCCAGACCGGACACCCCTAAAATGTTCAAGGCGGCGCTGAGAGTGACGGAGCAGGCGGGAATCGAGGGAAGCTTCACCAAACTGAAGAAAGCCTACAAATCGTCAGAGAACATGGCAGAGGTGAGACACCTGCAGTCTTCAGCTGTCACGTGCCAGCTGAGGGCTTCATGCAACTCCACAGATGGACAGTAGGGGGGGCTAACATGCAAAACAAAAAAACAAAGTCATGCTGCTGGAAAAAAAGCAAAGAGGGGTGTGATGTATATGAGCTCTGCAGGCTCCAACAATCATGTAAATATTTATTTGTAGATGTTTAATGAGGAGGGAGATGCATTAGGTTAGATTTAGAGGATTTACTCAGCAGCAGGTGACTATTTTTGTAGAGTAATAATAATAACTATATTCATATTAATCTCTAAATTAAAATGTTGATTTTGTGTAACTCATCAAAGAAGTGATCTACCTCATGTTCTCATGTCTGAATACTTGTGTATTTATTTGATAAATAAGGTGGTTTAAAATCATCCCATCAAGGGCTGTATCCTAAAATGACAGTCTCACATTTACAGTTTTTTTCTCTGTACTTTTGAATAATGAAAAGAAATACCAGGAAAACTAAACATGAAGATGGAACAAAAGATTTGTCTACATTTTGGGGAGTTTTTGGACAATAGACAGACTTTATAAAATGTGAGTTGTAATGAAGCTCTAACAGGGGGAAAAAAAATGTAATTCTGGTGACCCATTTTCTGAGGTTGATTTAAACATTTTTCGTTCTTGAGCTTAGAACCTAACGCTTATTTTTAGAAACAGTTTTTAGGTAACACTTAAAATTAAGGTCACAATATTCACCATTCACAAGTTGTTTATTAGCATGCTAATTAGTGACAAACGAGCTTCTTGTTAGCCATTATGAGTTGGAAATCAGGTAGAGAGAGAGTGGGGGATGACATGCAGGAAAGCAGCCACAGGTTGGTCCACTTGGAGAACCTAAGCCTCTGTACATGGGGCGCGCAACCTAACCACTAGGCCACCGGCGCCCCAGGGGAAAACTTTTTCCATCTGGAGAGAAAACTGGAGAGAAAACTGTTGAGATTAGAATTAGAAAAGGAATCACCATCTTATCTCGCTTGCCTCTTAGGACCTCCTCACCAATTTGCTGTTAAAAATGTAGAGCGTTTATGTTCCTGGGAAGGCGACATTATTTTAAATGTAAAAGAAAGAAGAGCTTAAAGGAAGGGAACAAAGAGAGGGAGGAAGGAAAGAAGTGACTCAGAAGTTATTGTCATTATGACACAGGGTTGTTCAAAGAGGAAAAAAAGAGAAAAGGAAGAAGGAAAGAGTAAGACTGACACGTGCTTCCATCTTTTTGTCCCTCCCAGGGTCCTCCCTCCGCCTCTCCGGTCCCCCCTCCGTCTCCGATGCACCGCCGCTCGCCGATCCCCCACGCTCAGGCTAAAGATGACGACGACGCCGTGACGGAGACCGCCGACAGCTCTGTGGTCATCAGGATGACGCCACGGAAGGAAGGAGAGGAGCTGCTCACTGTGGAGGTGAAGCCAAGGAAGGCAGAGGAGGAGAAGAAGAAAAAGACAGGGGAGGATTGATCCCACCGGAAAAAACTCGGCTTCCCAGAATGCCTTTCACTGACGTCCAGAGGAGGAATGTGGGTTTCAGGTTTACCATCTTTGTGCTTTTTCTCTGCTGGATTTTCTCTCGGCTTTTAATGAGGGCTTTCCATTAACCCTTCATTTGTCTCAATGTTTACCTCACAAATATCCCCCCCACCCGACTGATGAGGAGAGAACACAACCAGAATCTAATCACATTCAACATCATGATTCTCAAGATGAGCTTGAGCTGCTGTTTGAAGGAAGAAAGTAGGACGTAGAAATGTGTATTGAAAACAGACAACAGTTATGAGCGCACTGTTTCTCCAAGTCAACTGTAACATTACCCATCGTTTTGTGGACCTTCTTTGAAGCCTCGTGTTCAGGATTGCGGCCGTCACAATCCTGATTCAATTTCTGCTCATTGAATAAACCCTTGTTAGGAGGAACTGATAGTTACTGATTAGATGTAGGACTTTGAAACGCGTGCACATACAGCACGGGATAATGCGATACTGCCTGGATCGGTCAAAGATCTACAATGACACACAGGATACTTAGTCATGAGCTCATCACTGTTTTAACCCATTCATGTCCACACTGGATTTTCTTTCACGGCACTTATAGAACCAGCTGAGCTCAGAACAGATCTGTAAACATTTTAAAATTGTTAAAAGTTTGAGGATGCAACGTAAGCTACTATTTGGAGTTGTTAGTCATACGAGTTTTTGAAATCGTTTCACCCCCGACAATTGGATGGGATAGTCAAACTTCATAATTCGACATTAAAAACTATGTATGCACTCGTACAATCTAGATTCAAATTGTTTTTTTAAAGGAGCAATATGTAACTCTGACACCTAGTGTTTAAAATGGGTACTGCAGTCCAAACTGAAAACATTGTAGAGATCTGTCTCCCCCGCCCCCTCCTCTCTAGAGTCAATTTTCACGCAGGTCACCATGTGGTGGACACTGAAGCTTCAGTGTTTATCCAGCTCTGCATCGGTCTGTAAATCTTTCTGCGTTCTAACCTATCTCCATTTTTCAAAAGCATCTCCAATATTGATCCTAGTTTGAGCACGTTTCTGCTCGTGGAGCTTATTAGAAACATGCAGAGGCTTTTTAGGTCGGGTACAATCACTTCTATTTGAACCACTTCTCTCGCCCAATTCCATCGCTGCAACACCTGTTGGTTTGACCTGATAACTGCTCTCACATCTGGCAAACCGAGGGGGCGTCCAAAACGGCCATGGTCCTCAAATCCAGAGCATTGAGGACCAGAATCTAAAGTTAGAAGGAGGACATACTGGCTGCTTCATTGTTGTCAGAGAAGCCATCACTTCAACATGTTTCCTTAATGTCTGATCATATAGTAAGGTCACTTTATCACTTATCTATCTTACATATCGCTCCTTTGAATAAATAAAAAATCCTGAGTATCCCCGTATCAATCAACTAAAAATGACATGTAACAGAAACGGCTTTAAATGTCTACTTGGTCTCAATGGATTCCAGATGTTTTCTATCACAATGTGATGTGCTTTAGCGTCGCTATTTTATGTTAATTATGTGACATCAAAAGCTTGACGTTGTTTTGTGTAGCCACATGTTGCTTTGTTTCTACCTCCAACAGAACAGTTTTTTTAGTTGGACTTGCATACACATAATATCAACATACTACATGTTGTAGTTAGTCATTAAAGGGTTAATCAGGAGAAACACCTTACTGTGTTTTTTATAGAGAAGACTAGAATACAGTGAGAGGCAGAGGAACAATAAAGTGCCAGGTCGCTTCTGAAACTGCAGAATATAGACTATCACATTTCCTACATGTATCACATGACCTGCAGTCTATTGATCATCTTATCTTAGTTATGAACTATAGTATATCTTGAGTGCTGTTAATTTATCATCCTTTACAAAACAGACAAAGAAAGGACATGTTCTATTTTATTTATTTATTTATTGAATTAGGACAGTGCACATTTAACATAGCATCCATGTACATGTGCCGGAATTAGCACAAAAGCTAAATTTCATCCGTAGTCCTGAAGGCAGGTACAAACAGAAAAAAACATCAAAAACTAATTTACAATCACAGGTCACCTCAAAGGACAGGCTTCAGAACATCATACTGTTAAGCCCCACCATAAGGCGGCCCTAGGGACTAACAACAATCCACAACTTGACCCAGTACAACACACTAAACACCTTGAAAAAAGTCAAACCAATTTTATTAACAGACAAACTAATTAATTAAACAAAGATCCAAACTAATGTAACCAAACACAACACACAATCCTGGCGAGAGAGTGGCACAGCAGTCCCAACTCCAAATGCCTCTCTTCCTGAAGCCAGCACTGGGCTCTTAAACACTGAGGCCAGGTGTGCCTGTCATTTAGTGACTTCACCTGGGCGGCTGGAGACAACAGAAAGAGAGAAGGGACAAATAGCACAGGGAAACATACAGCCGTAACAATACAGAAGAACATTTTTTTTAATTATTATTTTGATTCTGAATAAATAATATGTTTCTTAGTTTTATTTTATTGTCACTTTGAGTTTATTATGTTATAAATAAGATCATAATGACACTATCCTCCCAAAGTGTTTAGACATACATTCTAGCCTGATTGAACTTCTGTCTTTCTTCCTTCTTTTTAATTGACTTTATTCTTATTTTCTCATGTTGTCTTTTTAGCTACCTTACTTTGTGAATTGTACAAACTGAAATACTGAACCTATAAACAAGAATAGGCCTCGAAATCAGACGTAGGAATCTTTTATTTCATGTCTTTACAGTTCGAGTGCAGTACCTTCTCTGACCACATAGACTGTCTGTGTGAACACAGGGGGGCGCTGTTTCACTGTTTTAAGGAAACTCAATGAACAATTGGGAATTCAAATAATAAAGCTTGCTGTAAAGTACATTTCCAGTGTCCTTCACTGAGCTAACGCTGTTTTTAAACCGTCTTCATGTCATCTCTAGGTAGATGTGTGATGTTTAAGTTGATTTTATGTTTATTTTCAAAGCTGTAAAAAGACAAATGTGTACCTTTGTCATGTGTAGGAGTTTGGAAAATGAACGTGCAGCTATGTGTAATGATGAATAAGCTGTTCTCTGTATTAATATGACTGTGTGTTTCTGCTTCATCCAGCTGTGTGTCTGTTATTTGTATCCGCTGTTAACCACTCAATAACTCTGTCTGCTAAACTCTGATGACTTTAATGATTTTACTCCACTGGTTTCCAGGGCACTCAGGATCCAATGTTTGTGTAAGGATTCAGGTTTAGCTGTAGACCTCCGTTCTGACCCGGGTTTATTTTTAGGGTCAGATGCAGCTCAGGCTTTCATTCACAGGACATCCACATCTGCAGGCACAAATGAGCTTCAAAATTTCATTACTATGTAGGCTACAAAATATTTTTTTAGAAATTAGCCTACCCAAAGCAAACAGGAGCTTAGATATCACAGAAAGTTTGAACAAGTTAAAAATACTCAGTTACAACACTTTAACTTTCATTCGTCATTTTTGCCAATTTGGAACAAGTCCAATTGCTGAATTGTAGCCTATCCATTCCTGAACTCACTTGCGTACTGTTATTGGCTGGAGGAAACACACCAGCAGCAGCTACTCACTCTATTTAAAGTAGTTGAGGAATGTCGACCAAACCTTATCACGCCAATAAGAAATGTTTCATGTATTGCTTCATAAATTTGACATTGTTTTAAAATACAGTTTTTTTTCTAGAGGAGCGTTCTTAAAAATATAAAAACCTCCATTTGTAAAACATTTGTGAAAAAAGAAGTCTAATTATCGACCTTATTGTCACTCAAGCCACATAGTCTCCCACACTCTGGTCTTTTTACACTACCTGCTGCTGGAGGGCGCTGGTTAGCTAAGCTACTTTATCAAGACATAAGAAGCTGCAACAGGTCTGTACTTCAGAGACATTCTGCTGAGCTTCCCAGGCGTAAGAAAGTCAGGGAAATGTTCAGGAAGCAGAGGAAGCTCTCATTGTGTCGGCCTGAGCAGAAGAGGAAAGGCAGAAAACAAGAAAAAGGCGGGAAAGCCGGAACTATGCAGAGCTGCTGCTGAATACAGGAAGCTTTATCACCACTGCTGATTGCCAAGAGTAGCAAGGGAAGATTTTTCAAACACTAAATATAGCTCAAGGAGTCACTTTGTTGCTGCATTTGAACCACTACAATTACAAAGATTTCACACGTTTATCTTTAAAAAAAAAAAAAAAAACCCTGTTTCTGACATATGTCATTGTGTTGTAATAAAACAAACAATAGCCTGAAGGTGTTTGTGTGGTCTTTAGGGGAAAGAACAAAGCCTGGCTAGCTCTTTACACGGGTACATCATATTGGGATTTTTTTTTCAGTGACTGAAATGACTAAGTCCATGCATAGCAGACAGCTGGCAGCACCCATAGATCACTAAGTGTACACACAAAACCCCAGGAAGTGCGTCGACCGTCGATGCCTATTTTCCTGGTGGACGAACCTGGTATTGCAGCGTCACCTGACGTCATTGAGCCCAAAAAGACATTTCCATTAGCTGACATTGGGAAAGAGATATCTATAAAGCAGAGGACAACATTTTTTGAGAGTTGTAGACATAATGAACGCAGATCAGAACCACGGGACTGTGACTCCATGTATATGGGCCCAGTAACGCGAAAGGTTAGAGTACTTTTACAAGGCAAAGTCCGCCTTCTTTTGATTCATGTGCCATTGAGCAGCTTTCAAAGGAATGAACGGGGTATTTATTCTATAATACATCCATTGTGAACACCTCTGGCCTATAGCCTAACTTGCAACCGAACTAAAAATGTAAACAACTGACAGTTGTCATCGTGAAATAAGCTATAGAGACCAAACCCATTATTCTGAAATGTTTTTAAATCTCCTGTTTAATTCAACATGTGGCTCCACAGGTATGGACTCATTTTTGGATCCTGCCTCGAGTGGCCATGTGAGGAACTACACCTTTTGGCACCTCTGCACCTCAGCTTTGAATATTGCCGCTCATGCAGGATGACAACACTTTGGATTGTTGTCATCACTAACTGCATCCAACTACCTTTCTCAACACATTTTGAAGGACTAGCTTTCTATCGTAAGGTTGTGGAAGTCTCTGCACATGTGCAATGAGTGCACAGGTAGAGTGTGCACAGGTATGAAGGTAGAGAGTAAGTGAGCCACCGATTCACAATATTCTGTTTGATTAAAATCAATGGTCCTGTTACAGTCCTGCATCTGCATATTTTTCCAGGCATTTGAATTTAAACAAATATTTTAATAATAATAATAATTTTAAAGGTTATGCTCAACACAGGGTTTTATAACATTTCGATGCAGTAATACAAATCAAATTATATAAACCGGCCAAACTGTAAAATGACCTCCTTAAACTTTCTATTTTTCAGAGTATATCGATGCCAATTTAATTAAAAAGACAAAATGCAGTATGCCAACATTTTAGAATAGCAGTGTAAAACAGACAGAGATATTTATTTTACCACAACAATCTAGATGTTGAGTAACCGAATTATGAAAGTCATGTAAGAGAAATGTCAACAAATATTCCTTCATTTGAATCCTTGAAGAATATTTTTGACGAGCCCACAAATCCCGCCCGCCCTTTTTCTCTATTTCTCTATTGCCCATGCGCGCTCAACCCACTGAACTGACACATGTCCGACAGTCCGTGAAGGCAGCACAGACAATCCAGCAGCAGTCTTGACTTTTTAGCGGCGGGGAGCAGCTGATCAGCGGAGCGACACACGGAGGAGCCTACACCGCTAGAAAACTGGAAACTACAGAGAGTAACAAGCGAGTTTCAACTTCTCATTCAAATTTAACACTTGG